CACTGGACCTGGTTTAGGATTTTGGATGCTAAGAATATTATGTTCTAGGGATTTTGATCATTCAGTGTATTAATATGCCTTTTGGTATTATGAGCATTGCTTCTAAGATTCCTCATCTTCTCATTGATTATGACCATCATTTTCTTTAAGTATTTTAAGTTGTATTTTAAATAGATGCTTTAGCCAGGCGTGGTGGTGCACACCTGTAATCCCAGCACTCGGGAGGCTGAGGCAGGAGAATCACTGCGAGTTTAAGGCCAGCCTGGACTACAAAGTGAGCTCAAGGCCAGCCTGAACTGCATAGCGAGACCCTGTCTCAAAAAGACAAAAAAAAAAAAATCCAATGAATGATTTTAATGTACTTGCCAATGTACAAAGCACTAGGGCCAGGGATATAGCTTAGCAGCACAAGCTCCTGCCTGGAAAGTGCAAGGTCCTGAGTTCGATTCCCGGTACTAAAAAAAAAAAAAAACAATGCACAAAGCACTTGGTGCTTCCCCTTGTGTACTTAGTTGTGGCAGTCAGGGTTAGAAAAACACTTGGCAATGCCTATAATTCCATCACTCTGGGAGGATGAGGCAGAGGATTGCAAATCTGAGGCCAGCTTAATTTAGTGAGACCCTGACTCAAAAAAACTGAAAAAGGTCTAGGATGTAGCTCAGTGTGAAAGCCCCAGGTTCAATCCTCACCGGCATTAGAGATGAGAGAGGCAGGGGGCACGCATGAGAATCTGTTCTGTTCTACACCAACCTACTGGTCAGAGAGGTACATGTGTGGGGGGATAGTACTTGCGATTGACTCCCCTGGCCTTTGCACTTAACTACATCCCAGCCTCTTAATTTTTACATAGTTGTTTTTTGGTTTTTTTGAGACAGTGTCTTGCTGAATTGGTAAAATTTCCCAGGTTGGGCTTGAACTTGTGATTGTCCCACCTGAACATCCCAGAGTGCTACTCTTGTTAAACTGCCCCCACTGGTTAAAATTTGTGATACTCCCGCCTTAGCTTTCCAAGGAGCTTGGGATTACAGATGTGGGCCACCACATCCAGCTAAAATACTCTCTTAAATCTGTTGGGTTTTTTTGTTGTTTTGTGACAGAGGGTGTTGCTCTATAATTCAGGCTCATCTTGAATTCACTATGTAGCCCAGGCTGGTCTTGAACTCACAGCAGTCCACCTGCCTCAACCTCGAGTGCTGGAACTACAGGTGTGTACCACCACTCATATCCAGCTAGCTTTTTTATAACTATTAAAAAAAATTATGCTTGGTGTGGTGCTGCACACCTGTAATCCCAGCACTCAGGAGGCTGAGGCAGGAGGACTGCCACAGGTTTAAAGCCAGCCCAGGATACATAGCAAACTCAAAGCCAGCCTGAACTATATAGCTTGACCCCGTCTCCAAAAATAACCCATATATATATATATATAATTTTCCAAGCATGGTGCTATGCACCCGTTAGGTGTTTTATACATGGGAGACTGAGGTAAGAGGATTGATTGAACCAAAACCAACCTAGGACATAAGTCAAAAAATGTATTATTTTTCAGGATGCTGGGGATTGAGCCCAGGCACATACTTTGCTACTGAGCTACACCTCTACCCTGTGTATCTGCTGGTTCTTGTTCAAACTACTTAATCAACAGTGGTGGTAGAGCTAGCTCCTTCCAGGAGCCAGGTCTGTTCTTCTCTTTCACTAGCTTAAACATTTTTGATCTACTTTCTCAAAAAAAAAAAAAAAAAAAAAAGCAATTAAAAGCACAAAGATACACAGGCAAGAGGCAGAGCTTCTTGTCCAAGACCTGTTTGCGACTATCCAACATAAATGTAGTCTTTTGATGTTCTGTAAAGGCATCAGGTCAGCACTAACAAACACAGTTAAATGCAGTATTCTTTTACTCATGTTCTGCCTTTAGGTAAATACAATTTAATGGGATTTGGTTTCCCTTCATTCTACAACCCAGGGCTCAGGAATAACAGGTATGTTTGTTTGAAAGGGCATGTACCTCTTTTAGGCCTACATTTATGTTCTGCTCTTTTCTCTGGCACTTCCAATTCAGTTCTCTGAGCTCACAAAAATACACATGCCCTGTCACTTTGGACTTTAAAACATCAAAAGCTTTTGTGCACCCAGGGCCACAGCATGGCCCCTTTCTTGCTGGAGGGACACCAGCTTGCTTCTGTATTACGACTAACAGATTAGGTTAAGCAAATGCTGCTTGGCTAGAGATTTGCTCTGTAACACAAGGAATAAGCACGGCACTGATCAAATGCCAAATCCTAGCCTTCCAAGAAACAATGTACTTTTTCTTTTTTTTTTTGAGACCGAGTCTTGTTATGTAGTTCAGACTGCTCTTGAGCTCACTTTGTGGCTCAGGCTGGTCTCAAACTCCCTCAGCTCCTACCACACCTGGCTTACATTTTCTTTTGAGAATAGCTTTATATTTGAACTGACATTTGTGACTCAAAATGCTGCAGGATGAATAACCATCTGGAGAATAAATTAGCAACCTCATTTATAGTGTCATGAAAAAGAACACAATACTAATAATTAGCTTGTATAATGAAAGGTATAAAAATATTTCTAAAATAAAGGAGATACAAATAACAGAAGATATTCTATGTTCATGGGCTGAAATATTTAATACGGCTGAGGGGTCAGCAGTATCTATATCAATTTATAGATTTAACTGAATTCCTATAAAAACCTCAACCACTCTTCTTCACAGAAATAAACTCATCACAAAATTCATGGCATCTCAAGAGACCATGAATAATCGAAGTACTCCCAAAAAGAACAAAGCCACATTTCTTGAACTTACTACAAAGCCAGGGGTTGTGGTACATGCCTATAATGCCAGCATTCAGGAGGCTGAAGCAGGAAGATCGCTGAGAGTTTGAGGGCAATATGGGTTACATAGTGAGTTCAAGGCCAGACTGAATGAAAAAGTGAGACTCTGTCTCAAAACAAACAAAAAAAGAAATATTTCAAGGCCTGCATGAATGACATAGTGACACCCTGTTTCAAAACACAAAACAACAAAGCTATGGTAATCAAAAAGCATTGTACTGGCTGAAGACAAACACAAACCAATGGAATAGAGCTGAGAAACAGATCCTCATATATATGGTCAAATGGTTGAAGAAAAGGGTGCTAAAGCTGGGAGTGGTGGTGGTACATGCCTGCAATCCTAGTACTCAGGAGGCTGAGGCAGGAGGATGTCATGAGTTCAAGGCCAGCCTGAACTACATACCAAGACCCTGTCTCAACCCTCCCCCCATAAAAAAAGAAAGACTGCCAAGACAAAAAGAACAGTCTTTTTCAACAAATGGCTCTAGAAAAATTGGATATCCACATGCAAAAGAATGAAGCTGGACTCCCATCTAATGCCATACACAAAAATTAACTCCAGCCAGGAGTGGTGGCGCACACCTGTAATCCCAGCACTCAGGAGGCTGGGGCAGGAGGATCGTTGTGAGTACAAGACCAGCCTGGGCTACAAAGTGAGCTCAAGGCCAGCCCGAATTGAATAGTGAGACACTGTCTCAAAAAAAAATAAAAGTGGTGGCTACAAAAATTAACTCCAAATGGAACCATGATCTAAGTAAAAGACCTAAAACTACAGAATTCTGAGAAAAAGATAGGGCAAAGTGGTATGATGTAGGATTTGGCAGTGATTGATATGACACCAAGACAGTAAGAAAAAAGAGAAATTAAATTATATACAAATTAAGATATCTTGTGTATTTTAAATCTGTTGAGCTGAGCATGGTGGCACATGTTTATAATCTCAGCTACTACTAGGTAAGCTGAGGCAGGAGGATTACAAGTCTGGGCAAATTAATGAGACCCCCATCTCAAAATAAAACTAAAAAGGGGATGTAGCTCAGTGTGAGGGCCTGGATTCAATCCCTAGTACTAAGAATAGAAAAAATGGATCACTGATATAAGTTAGCAAACTGAAATGTAGTACTGTTTTTTCAAAATTCAATTATCTGAACTTGGTACTTTATTACTTTTAGACTTCACAGGCCTGGTGTGGTGGCACATGCCTGTAATCCCTACACTTGGGAGGCTGAGGCAGAATCACAAGTTCAAAGCCTTTTCCTGGGCCACACAGGCAGTCCAAGGCCAACCTGAACTACATGCAAGACCTTGACTCAAAAAAAAAAGAAAAAAAAAAGGTGGACTTCACAAACTTTTTAAAGTAAACACACAGTCACTGTCTTCACTGCCTTCTCCTAGCCCAATTTTGTATTATTCTGGAAAATAAACCATAATATAAGCACTCAGAACACTGAAATTTCTTAAATAAATTACTGTTAGGATTACCACTTTGGTATACTGGGGATTGAACCCAAGACCTTCTCACTGAGCTATAGCCTCATATACCCCCTTTTCTGAAAAATTTAATATTCTGAGACGTGGGTGCCACTAAATTGTTGAATTATCCAGATTGGGCTTGAATTTGTGATCCTTCTATTCAACCTCCCCAAGTGCTAGAATTACAGCCATACAGCATCACACCTTGCTCAAATAAAGCACATCATACGGCCAGGCATGGTGGTGCACGCCTGTAATCCTAGTACTCAGGAGGCTGAGGCAAGAGGTTTGCCTTGAATTTGGGGCCAGCCTGGGCTACATAAGTAAGTTCAAGGCCAGCCTAGGCTGGGCATGGTGGTACACACCTGTAATCCCAGCACTAGGGAGGCTGAGGCAGGAGAATAGCTGTAAGTTCAAGGTCAGCCTGAACTGCACTGAAACCCTGACTCAAAAAGAACAGAACAACAACAAAAAGCGCAGCCTGAACTATATAGTGAGACCCTGTCTCAAAAAACAAAACAAAGAAACCGAAGTGCCTCACATGCACTAAGCATTCAGAAAATGTTAATTACTCCTTCAATACTAATTTTGCAAATACAGGTAGAAGCAGTTTTCCAAAGTTAAAAAACAGGATGGAATCTCATGATGAAAAAGTATGATTTAAGAAAAAACAGAACAAATAGGATGTAATATTCCTTTATTTTTACACATCTGACACAGGTTTTCAGTAAACAATGCTTCCAGTGGAAAACAGCATGAATATCAGCCTCCAGCCATTGGCAGCTGCCCTGCTCAGGGCCTAGACTCCCCCTTGCCCAAGTGGTGAGGTGGAGGGGTGTACGTCCCTTCCTTTATTAGCTTATCCCGCTGCTTCTTGATGGTATTCATGCGTTTTATCTGTCCAAAGAAAAAAAAGCACTTAAAGTAGAGGGAAATATGCACCAGGAAACAAGGACTGGAGAAAGTGAACTACTTTTGGTTTCATCCCTTACCCCCACCTCACCCCCCACTAGTACTGGAGTGGACCCCAGGCCTTCACACTGAGCCACATCCCCAGCTTTTCGCTTGGTTTGAGACAGAGTTTGCTAAATTGCTAAATTTCCCAGGTTGGGCTTGAATTTGTGAACCTCCTGCTTCCGCCTCCCGGATACTGGGATCACAGGCAAGTGCCACCGTGCCCAGCTTGGTGTCATTTGTAAGCTCTGGAAGGCTTTTCATTCCAGGGTCCACTGAGATGGTCTTCTTTTTTTTCCTTCTTTTTGGTGCTGGAGATTGAACAGGGCCCATGCATGCTAGGCTAGTGCTCTACCACTGAGTTACGCCCCCAGCACTAAATCCTAACATTAAAGAAGTTGAAATGGCTTCCCAAGGCTTTTAACAAACAAATTTGCAGTATACACAATACCTTAGAATCTAGTAACTAAAATGCCTTCTCTCCTTTGCTATACATACATACATACACAACATATTATATGGATTCATTACTTACAAAAACTTTAAAAGGAATATTTTTGCAAAATCTTTTCAAATACATATTAAAAGTTAAGATCACCTCACAGTTTATATATAATTTCTAACTTTTCAATACCAAAGTCACACTGCTGCTGGGTGACTGTTCCATAGGTGTGATGGAAGCAGAAATAGCCAATATGAAGTCTCTTTTTTGTAAAAACACCAAGGCCTGTAAGTGCACAGCTACTAGTCTCAGAGAGCCGAGTTCTGTTGGCCGCTGTTTGCTTCCCAACAAATCAGAGCCATGCTATAGGACTGTGTCAAAGCTGCAGCAATAAGCTAGATTCTGTGACAGAAACGATACTCATGCTGATGGCATTATTCCTCTGACCAGAGCCCTTCAATGGCTTTTCATCTTACTAAGCAAAAATGATGAAACCTTATAATGGCCTATAGGGACCAGCTCTGACTTTATCTCCTAATACCCTTCCCTAGCTCTCTCCTTCCCATTCAAAGGATTCCGCACTTGCTGTTCCCTCGGCCTGGAACATTTTCTCCTTTGTATCTGTGTCTTTTTAAAAGCCTTTGCCCAAATGTCCTTTAATCCTGAGCTCTTCTGGCTATCCTTATATTTTTTTCTGATTATCCTAAAATTTACCCTAGCTCTCCTCCAACACTTTTTCCCTATTGCATTAGCAATTTTATTTTTGTCTTTTTGACAGGGTTTCACTATGCAGTTCAGGCTGGCCTTGAACTCACTTTGTAGCCCAGGCAGGCCTTGAACTTGCAATGATCCTCCTGCCTCAGCCTCCCGAGTGCTGGGATTATAGGCCTGCACCATGATGCCTGGCGGCATTTAGCAATTTTCATCATCAATTTTCTGTCCTTCATCCCACTAGAGTAGAAGCTTCATGAAGTCAGGGACTTCTTGCTGTTTTGTTTACTCTCACTGATTGTGTATTTTTTTTTTTTTTTTTGGGTGCTGGGAATTGAACTCAGGGCCTTGCACTTGCCAGGCAGGTGCTATGCCACTGAGCTACATCCCCAGCCCTACTGCTATATTCTTAATTGTCTAGAACAGTTCTTGACATAATAGATGCTCCAACACTTTTTAAATGAATGACTTTCTTTTCCCAAAGGCATGAAGAATTAGTATATTCAGCTAAACATCTCATTATCTTCAAAGTAGTCTGGATATAACTGTGGTTAAAAAAAAAAATCCCCAGATATCCTAAATACTGATATAAACATTCACCACTTAAGAGTAATTCTTCCAGCACTCTGGAGGCTCAGGCAGGAGGACTGTTGCGAGTTCAAGACCAACCTGAGCTACAAAGTGAGCTCAAGGCCAGCCTGAATTGCATAGTGAGACCCTGTCTCAAAAGGACCACAAAAAAAAAAAGTAATTCTTGTCATTTTTCTATTAAAGTTTCTCAACACAGGACTAATCGTGGTTGAGCTATGACACCATATGTCAAATCTTTCTTGAGCCAGAAGCACCACTTAGTAGGCTTGGAGGCATACTTCAGTAGTAGAGGGTGTGTGCGACAGGCTGTTCAATCCAAAGTACCAAAAACAAACAAAAAACACCCACAAGAAAAAAAAAATTTTTTTTTTTTTCCCCCTGGTACTAGGAATTGAACTCACGACCTTGCGCTGGTCAGGCAGGCACTGTGCCACTGAGCTAAATCTCCAGCCCCGAAAAAAAAAAAATTAATTAAGAAAATAATCTCGTGTTATAAGTAAAAAGCAAATACTCTGGTATAGCCTTATCAGGCTGAAATCCCAATTCCACCATAATTAACTAATTCTTGGAATTAGCTGTTCTAGAATTTAGGCAATGTCCTCAAATTTTCCTTCCTTACATGTGTTGACAAGTGCTCGGCCACTGAAGTACATTTCCAATCCTTTTCAAATTTTTAATTGTATAATGGAAACTCGTGTCATAGGATGGAGGGGTAGTACTAGGGATTAAACCCAGGCCTTCACACTGAACTACATCAAAAGATGTTTATTTTTATTTTTTAAAATTTTGAACAGTCTCCCTAAGTTGCCCAGGCTAGGGGCAAACTTATGATCCTCCTGCCTCAGCAGCCCTCAGGCCTGGCTTCATAAGACTGTACATGCTAAGAATTTATTTATTTATTTTCTGGTATCAGTAATCCACCTCACTGACCTTGCGCTTGCCAGGCAGGCGCTCTGCTGCTGAGCTATATCCCCAGCCCTACAGGCTAAGAATTTAGAACAGTGCTTGATTCTAATCCCCTGATTCTGGCAGACAAACCTGTAATCCCAGTACTCGGGAAGCTGAGGCAGGAGGTTCACCTTGAGTTCTAGGCCAGCCAGAGCTAATGAGTTCAAGGCCAGCCTGAACTATATAGTGAGACTCTGTCTCAAAAAAAAAAAAAAAAAAATCCCTGATTCATTAGCTTCTTCACCTACAGAAGTTATCCAAGTCCCTGAGGCCAGTCTCTAAAATGCTAACTTACCTATTTATGAACTCACTGGATTAGGAGGTGACTTTGGAGCAAACTATAATTTTTCAAGGTCAGGAAACCAAGATCAAGAAGGGAAACTAACTGACGTCTTCAAAGTCACAGAAATAGTGGTGACAGAACCGGAATCAGAACCTGGCTCTCCTAACTCCCAGTTCAGTATTCTTTCCACTTTATACAGTTTCCTCTAGGTATAAAAATTTTCAGGTTTAAAAAAAATTTTTTAAGTTTACTGGTACATTTTAGATATACACAATGACTACATTCATTATAGAGAATTTGTACCTGTACATGATCTAACGTGATTCTTTTCTTTCCCTCATTTCCTTACCCTCCCCCTCAACCCCCTCTTCCCCTCCCTATTTACTAAAGCTTTGTTCCCATTTTGTCCTTCTTTTCTCATTTTTAAAAATTTTCAGATTTAGGTAAAATTTTGGTAATAAAAACATTTCTGTTTGGAGCTAGTCATGGTGGCACACTCTTGTAGTCCCAGCTGAGAAGCTGAGGCAGGAATACTTGAGCCCGTGAGTTTGAGGCCACCCAGGATAGCAGAGGAAGACACAGTCTCAAATAAAATAAAATAAACTTCTGTTTGTTATATCTATTTTTTTTGATTTTTTGTTTGTTTGTTATATTAACACAGCAACAGGCAAAATGAAAGCCCAAACACAAAATTTCTTTTCTAAAGGAGAACAGAGCCTTTTATATTATACAACTCATGCAACTTGAGAAGTGGGCACCATGTTGCTAAGATGTTTTTCATACATCTTTGGTTAGGCTTATTTAAAGCAATCTCATTAAGATCTCTATCTTGTTCAGCGTATTAAACAAATCCACAGTTTGTTATATGTTCGTTGTGATAGATCTGCTGGGTTCAACCTCTTCTCCAGAGAGGGCTCAATAAACTTGAAGAAATATTTTCACTCAAAGATTTTCAAGGACAAACATTCAAAGCTGGTTGAAATTCTTTGCTTAACCTTCTGTTGAAAAAATGGACACACACCCATGTGCAGTTTATAACCTGGTGGCTACAGCACGGTATAACACTAGGGAACATCTGAGACTAGATAAGGAAGAGCACTGAGGACACTAAGGAAGAGGCCCTCCTTAGATCTAACGGCACTTCTCTTCCTTGCCATGGAGCCTACATGTAGATGTTTCACCAGTTTACACTGGGCACACCACTGCCTAATAACCAATGAAAAGTGCTGAAAGAGCACCCCCAAAGAAACAAAGAAATTCAGCTCCCATCTCCACCATTTCCTCACCGTTTTCTGCCGCAGCAAACATTCTACCAAATCATCATATTCTATCTTGCATTCTTTTTGCGCCCGGGTAGCACCAATTCCATGTGCACATTCTAGCCATTCTTTTTCAAAAGCATGGCATCGAGAAGCAATTTTGTAGGGTTGTTCAGCACTTTGGATCGCCATGTGGCGATCTAAACTAATGCCCAGTCTTTTCTGCACGTCTAAGAAAGGCATGACTGTAAGGGAAGACAAAAATAATAATAGTAATAATGCCATAAGAGTACAATAAAATGAAACATTCTTTAGAATTAAAAGTAAAGAATAATGTACAGTAATTCTGACAGTGATATGGTCTTTTTTGTCTAAAGTCAATAAAGTGTTTATGTCTTGGGGCTGGGGATTTAGCTCAGCGGCAAAAGCACCTGCCTGGCAAGCGCAAGGTCGTGAGTTCAGTTCCCGGTACTGGAGAAAAAAAAAAACAAAAAAACCCCCAAAAAACCAAAAGTGTTTATGTCTTGACTAACTCCAAATCTCTGAAACAGATCCGAAGAAAACTGAAAAGAGGTATAAGCACAAACCATTTCTTTACTTTTTTCTGTTTTTTGCAGCAGTGGGATTTAACCCAGGGCCTCTGCACTGAGCTGCATCCTAGCCCTTATTTTTTTGACACAGGGTCTTGCTAAATTGTTAAATTGTGCTCAAACTTGCAATCCTCCTGCCCCAGCCTCCCAGAGTACTGACATTACAGGTGTGAGCCACCATGCCAACCGCTTTACATTTTTTCTATCCATTCTTTCTATAGCAACCTGGATGACACTTCTGAGAAACCATCCAGAACCCAGTCGTCCTCCTGTGTTCCTCCAACTCTCTCAACTTTCAGAGTACCGTTTAGATGCTGTAATGGACTATTTATTTGTATGTCGCCCCCACTGGACAATGAGTACTCTTGAGTCCAGAGATCAAGCAGAGCCTCAGTAACTGGTGAAAAAAATTTCAAACTTAAATGTGCAAACAATCGAGGAACGGGTCATTAAGTTCTGGTACTGAGAAGAATATGGCAGATACTGGGGAAAAAGGAAATGATACACATGGCAAATACATAGTTATGTTAAATAGCCAGGCGTGGTGGCACAAACCTGTAATCCCAGCACTCAGGAGGCTGAGGCAGGAGGATTGTTGCGAGTTCAAGGCCAACCTGGGCTACAAAGTGAGCTCAAGGCCAGCCTGAACTGCAGAGCCAGACCCTGTCTCAAACAGACAAAAAAAAAAAAAGCTAAATAAGAGGAGAGGGAGAGAGGAAGAAGAGAGGGAAGGGAGCGGGGAGAGGTGGAGAGAGAAAGGAAGAGAGAAGGGGAGAGGGAAGGGAGCGGGGAGAGGTGGAGAGAGAAAGGAAGAGAGAAGGGGAGAGGGGACGACTACAATACTAAAGAGACAAAAACTAAAGAGCACGCGCGCGCGCGCACACACACACACAAAGGTGAACGTAACTGAACATGCGCAGATTTACTGAAGCATTCAACTTCTAGTGCTTGTTTTACCGAGCAATTACTATCACATCCAGGCACTGAGATGGGGACAGCGGAGCCCAGCGAGAGTGCGCGCTGCGGCCGCACACCCGGACCTGCGAGCACCCAGAAGGTTTAAAAATGCACGAGCCGGATGGAGAGCTCGCCGAGTGACCGTCAGCGTCAGAGGGGACCGGCAGGGCAGCGGGGGGCGGGACACCGCGGCCCCAGAGCGGCGACAGCGCGCGGGCGGAGGACGGAAAGAGCGCGCGAGGCCAAGCGGGCCGAAAAGGCGCAGGCGCTGTAAAGCCTGGGAAATGAGTGCGGATTTCTGGTTAAAAAACGTAAGTCAAAGGGTTAGTCGACCAGGAAACGACGTTAACCTGAGAGGTACGCAGGCTGCAGGCGCCGGGGACAATGGCCTCGCCGGCGACGGGGCCCAGCGAAGAGGAGACAGTCCTGAGCTCGAGCCCTAGAAGAGGGGCACACCCAAACCAAGAGGAAGTTTATCAAGAGGGCTCACAAGGAAGCTCCTTAAGTGTCGCGGGGAAACAAGGAGCTCTTACCGACCCACAGAAGTGCCCTTGTCTCCTTCCCGGGCGGCCGCTTCAGAACAACCGGTTACCGACGTAGACGTCTGCCGCAAAGCATGCCCGCCGCGCGACGTTTGCGGCGCGAAGCCGGGAGCCGACACCTCCTCCGCCGTCGCGCTCCGAAAACCATAGAAACCAAACCCACCGATTTGCGCCTGCGCGCTTGTCTGACTTGGCCCCTGGAGAGTTTGACTGCGGGTAAGCTGAGCTTCCCTAAACTGCTTCTTTAAAGGGTTCGCCGGTAGTTACTTCCAGCCCTCTTACGACAGCTATGATTGGTGAGCGACTTGACGAAGGCCACACGCGAGAAAGAGCACTGCGTTCGCCACAGACTGTGCACTCAAACTACTTGAGGGAGATTCTTGCTATGCCACTGCTGTGTGACCGTGGAAGGTTTCCTAACCTGTTTCCTCTTCTGTTGAGAAGCTAACAGTATGGTTGCTATAGGGACTAAGTGATGTGGAAATCGCGGAGGCAGTGGCTGGTACAGGGAACTGCTCCAAAGCAGTCACAGTTCTTTTATGTCTGAGTTTCTGAAAGTTTGCAGATAGACTACCCCTAAGTCCTCCCTTGTTCCAGAACTTCCAGTGACTCCCTTGGACTACATCAGCGCCTCTGAAGTGATGTGTGCGAACAGGATTCCAAGGTTGTGTGATATACTTGGGGGTGTGGGAAGAAAATACCAGAATATTTCTATCTTATCTCTTCGATTGTGTCCTTATTGTGTAAATTTTTATGTAATGCCTAGTATCACTGCGATTGTATATATAAATAACTTGTAAATGTTTATTTGGGGTTTCGGCTGAATATTTCCTCCCTTTTCAGTGGTGTGCTATCAAAAAACGTTTAGGGAAGTCCAGTCTTTTTTTTTTTTTTTTTTTTTGTCTTTTTCAGACAGGGTCTCGCTATGCAGTTCAGGTTGGCCTTGAGCTCACTTTGTAGCCCATGCTGGTCTCGAACTCGCAACGATCCTCCTGCCTCAGCCTCCCGAGTGCTGGGAGAAATCTAGTCTTTCTAACTTTGCACAAAGGCCCCTGGTTAATGGCCCAACCAGAAGCTTGCTGTTCCAGGTAAAGTCCTGCAGTCTGGCCTCTTTCTCTTTTGACTCCTTTCCCTGGAATGACAGCATTTCCACCCATACCATTTTTCATGCTCATTTCCTGCTTTGCTTAAGGACTTCTGCATAGGTTTTTCCCAAAATTGGTTAACTGATCCTAAGGCCAAGGATCACCCATTCTGGAGAAGATTTTTTTTTTATCTTTTTGAGACAGTGTTTTGCCATGCAGCTGAGGCTGGCCTTGAACTGGTAGTAATCCTCCTGCCTCAGCTTCCTCAGTGTTGGGGTTAGAGGCGTGCACCACCACTCCTGGCCAGGTTTCTAAGGTCCACAACTTTCTTGTTTTGTTTGAAGCACTCCAATTCTCTCCTGCCCCCAACCCTCAGATAGGTGTTCTACATGAAACCCCAGTTTCAATTCAACTATAATTTCTTAAACACTTGATGCATAGAGGATTATAGATCCAACTGGTAACCCATGACTCCTACTGGTGTAACAAAAAATGCCACGCCCCCCCAGCCAGTATACTTCAGTTTCTTAGTTGCCCTTAGTTCCTTTTACAGTTCCTTTTTACTACTATCTCCTAAAATGGGCTGGTCACTGTAATGCATAACTGGTCACTATAATACATATTATAAAAACCAGTGTGGTGGCCCACGCCTGTAATCCCAGCACTTGAGAGGCTGAGGCAGGAGGATTGTTGAGAGTTTGAGACCAGCCTTGATTCTTGATTTGGCATTTAAGTCCCTTCATCACCTGGTTTCTTTCCATTTCTAAACACTCAGATCTACTGCCTACCACCCCCAAACTCTTTACCTCAGCTATTTGGATTTCCTTCCAAATGCTATAGGAGTTTCTTCTACCTGGAATGATCCCATTCACTTGCTGACCTCTTCCCACTATTTCCCAGACAAATGAATAATCCATTCATGGTTCATCTTGCCATTTTCTGGCGAACTTTCCTACTTTCTAAGGCATTTATTAAATTTGTGTGTGGGAGGGGGAGTCGAACGCAGGGGTGCTTGACCACTGAACTACATCCCCAAGCCCTTTATTCTTTTTGAGGTATTGTCAAATTGCCTAAGCGGGACTTGAGATCCTCCTGCCTCAACCTCCCTCAATGCTGGACTTATAGACATGCGCCGCCGTGACCAGCCCTAAACGCGTCCTAAGGACCTGCCAGGCCTGTAAACTTCCACTGTAGATACGGAAAAGTGTGACTACTGGGTCCCCTTGCACTGAACTGTGCCAACGGCCAGATCCTCGTTGGCGGCAACTTTTCCTTAACCACAAAGGATGGGAAACTACAGCTCCCAGAACCCCACGTCAGAGCTGCGCCTGCGCCGTTGCTATGGTGCCACAGGCTACCGGTTCCGGTGCCTACGTCACAAACAGCGTAGTCCCCGTCCCCGGCAGGGCCGCTGCAGTCGCCGCCTCCTCCCCAGCTCCCGGTTATCTTTTCTTTACCTCTCTCTGCGAGTCTTTAGTTTCTTGGGATTACAAAGGAGGTCAAAGGTCAAAGGACATTACCCTGGGCCCTCGCCTTCTTCCAGTAAATCTTCGGGACCGGGCCCCGAGATCCCGTAGAACACGTCGAGGTTAGAGGCGAGCTCCTAACATACCCTTGCTCCGTCTTCAGCGCATAACGGAGCGACGCTTCACGTTCTAAACCAGGGCCTCCGGCTGCCCCCGTCCCAGCTTCTGCGTGAGCGCGGCGCTGGACGTTGGGGGCGGGGCGCCTAAACTTGCTGTGGGTGTCCTACCTGCAGGGTTTCCTGTCATCAGCTGAGAAGCGCTTTTTTTTTTTTTTTTTTTTGGTTTTTCTCCGGTACCAGGAACCGAACTCACGACCTTGCACTTGCCAGGCAGGCGCTTTGCCGCTGAGCTAAATCCCCAGCCCTGAGAAGCGCTTTAACACCGCCCTTCTACAGACTGGCCACCTATAAGTTAGCACGTTGAACACTATTTCGGTCTGTATCTGCCACACAGATTTGAAATAACAAGGTTGCCCGCGGGGCCTAGCACATTTCGGGAAGACAGCGAGATTGTAAATTCCCTACCTGCAACTTGGTAAATGAGTAGGATAGACCAGAAAAAAAGAGGTAATCTGAAAGATGAATGACCATACAAATAAAAGATTGTGCTATCTGGGGATGGAGGAAATGCCAAATTGAACAAGTGAAACAATCAGGACTCACTTGAAGTAAACTAAATTGGGGAGGAGGGGTGTGCCCTCCAGGCTTTTTTTTGGGGGGGGGGGTGGGGGAGGGCTAGGCCCTTGATGACAGATAATGAAGTTGAAAAATGCTGTGTCCCTAGAACTCATTTTGACTTACAGAGCTGCCTCTGATTTTTTTTTTTTTTTCTTTCTCCCGAGACAGAGGCTTGCTATGTAGTTCAGGCTGGCCTCAAACTTGTGGCGATCTTCCTGCCTCAGCCTCCCCAGTGCTGGGATTACAAAAGTGTGCCACCATGCCCCGCTTGCCTCTTATTTTAATTAGGCTTCCCAGGTGCTATGATTTACACGAAGAAACCCCACTGCTAAGACCAAAGGGGCACCCCACTCCACCTGATATATTCTCATCATCAATTACACTGGACTCCGGTTTCTAGTGCAATATAACTTTATTAGTGAGTCAGCATTCCTTAGATCAGGTAATTATCCTAGCTGAAGGGAACCTGTCAGGGCAGCTGAGTAGCCTTCCCCAGGAAACACCCTGCTCTGTCTAGACAAATTTCGTTACACTTCTGTCCACTAGATTACAGAGGCCTAAAGAAGGCTCAGAATTACTTGACCTGGGAGTTAAGGCTAAGGTTTCAGGTAGGTGAATGAAGATTAGCCACACGTATTTCATTCACTCACTCATCTTTTTTATTTTTTTGCAGTACTGGGGACTGTACTCAGGGCATTCTACCACTGAACTACATCCCAGCCCTTTTTCATTTTTGAGACAGGGTCTTGCTATGTAGCCCAGGATGGCCTCAAACTGGTGATCCTCCTGCTTGAGCCTCCCCAGTGCTGGGATTACAGGCAGGTGCCACCTTTTCTTCACTTTTGTTTTTCTGAGACAGGGTTTTGTTATGTAGTTTGGGCTAGCCCTAAACTATGTAGCCCAGGCTAGCCTCAAACTTGCAGCAGTCCACCTACCTCAGCCTCCCAAGGGCTGGGATTACAGGTGTGCGCCACCATGCCAGGCAATTCACTTTTAAGTCTTAGATTAACTTGTTTACATGCCTTGACTTTCAGTAATGTAAGCATGAGAGCAGGGGCCTTGTCTGTCCAGTTCAGTGATAGATACACATTCCAAAGACCTGCAACAGTATTTGGCAAATAGCAGGTACTCCATGTACGTTCATCAAACAACTCTGCCTTGAAGAGAGAAGGAAATTGAGACTTAAGCAGGCATTTGTCAAATGAAAAGGAAACTAATTCCAGGCAGCGGAACAATAGAAGCACCATGAAAAATGTGTTGCTTATGGGTGTTGGCGACAATCTGAGGGAACATTTTCAGTATTCAGCACAAGAACTAATTACTATCTTTAACAGGTGAATTTATGTTTTTGTTTGTTTGTTTGTTTTGGTTTTTTTTTGTACCAGGAATTGAGCTCAGGACCTTGTTGTGCTTACCAGGCAGACGCTGTGCTGCCGAGCTACTTCCCTAGCCTCTAACAGGTGACTGTAAGAGAATCTATCCCTTTTTTTGTTTTGTTTTGTTTTGCGGTACCAGGAATCGAACTCATGATGTTGCGTTTGCCAGGCAGGCCCTGTGCTGTTGAGCTAAATCCCCAGCCCCTCTATCCCCTCTTCCCCAAAGGGAACCAGTAGCAGCTAAGGAATTGGAATGGATGAGATAAATTAAGGGCAAAGACAAGCCACATCAAAGAAGAAGGATCTTTGGATGTGTGCTATGATGACAGGAAGATTCTTCAAAAGCAATGTTCTTAGGTGAAACTATTACCATGCTTAATCATCCGTCTCAGACAATGTACAGGTCTCATTACTTCGGGGTTTTTTTTGTGCAGGAGGTATGAAACTGAGGGCCTTGCACATGCTAGGCAGGTGCTCTGCCAGAGCTGTACCTACCAACTCCAAAATGAGGGTGTGTGTGCGTGCTTGAGATGGAATCTTGCTATGT